ACTCCAGAGTGATCCTCTCTTGTATTCTTTCTGGAATTAGATTTCTCATCTTTTTGATCTTGGTTTGATTTGCACTAAAGCATACTATTTTTTGGAATATACAGGTAACAAGACTTGTTAAATTTGGGACTGGAAAGACAACTTTAGCCATTGGAGATGGAGCTAATGATGTAGGAATGCTTCAAGAAGCTGATATTGGAATTGGAATCAGTGGCGTTGAAGGAATGCAGGTGAGAGCTTTGTACATTTCTCTTGCCTTTTTCAGCAATACACAATTCTACTTCTTGCATCTGCCGTTTTCTCAATATTCTTTTCCCTGATTTACACATGGTAGGCTGTTATGTCAAGTGATGTTGCAATTGCTCAGTTCCGATTCTTGGAACGTTTGCTTTTAGTGCATGGTCATTGGTGTTACAGAAGGATCTCTTCAATGGTAATCGATATGCTACTGGATTTCTTCCTTAGATTTGTTGCGCAAAAAGATTCACGGTTGTTTTTTCAGGAGCATTCCTGTAACTGGCTTTTCTTTTCCTTGCAGATATGCTACTTTTTCTACAAAAACGTTGCATTTGGCTTTACTCTCTTCTTATACGAGACATATACATCATTTTCTGCACAACTTGCATATAACGATTGGTTTCTGTCGCTTTACAATGTCTTCTTCACATCATTACCAGTGATTGCTTTGGGTGTTTTTGATCAAGATGTATCTGCTCGATATTGTCTTAAGGTATGTCATACATCACACAGTGTTGATCAAGATGTATCTATCTATCATTATTTGAAGTACTTGACCCTATGTACATTGTTGCAGTTTCCTATACTGTATCAAGAAGGTATACAAAACGCCCTTTTCAGCTGGCGTCGTATAATTGGCTGGATATTGAATGGTGTCTGCAGTGCAGCTATTATCTTCTTCATCTGCATAACAGCGCTAGATCCTCAGGCCTTCAATAAAGATGGTAAAACTGGTGACTACAGTATCGTGGGAGCAACAATGTACACATGTGTTGTTTGGGTTGTTAACTGTCAGATGGCTCTAGCTGTTAGTTATTTCACCTTAATCCAACACATCTTCATCTGGGGTGGAATAGCTCTCTGGTACATCTTCCTTCTAATATACGGAGCCATGCCTACGACACTTTCCACCAACGCATACCAAGTCTTCGTGGAAGCTCTTGTTCCCTCCCCGTTATACTGGTTAGTCACACTGTTAGTAGTTGTTTCAGCTCTAGCCCCTTACTTTACATATGAAGCAATTCAGTTCCGGTTCTTCCCAATGTACCATGGGATGATTCAATGGATAAGGTATGAGGGAAACTCGAATGATCCTGAGTTCTGCAACGACGTGAGGCAGAGGTCAATAAAACTAACAACTGTAGGTTTCACTGCTCGTTTGATAGCAAGATCTAATTCTAGTCTAAAACGACATGAATGGTATTCACGGATGATCTTCGATTAGATCTCTCTCAGCAGGACCAGACTTCAGAACTACAGAGAGCCACAGTTTTTCGAACTGGAATCCCTCAGCTAAGAGATGCAACAGAAGCAACATTCTGCCATGACATGTCTTAATCAGACGAAAAAATTGCCCTGGAGGTTTGTAAATTTTCCCAGAGCAGGCAACATGTGTATAGTAATTCTTTTATATCTTGTAGAATTATGAGATCTTCTTTGTTAAATACAAGAAGCAGAGTAGATAGAATAGGTAAAGAGATAGCAATAATCTTGTGTAAATTTTCTAGCAATTGCACTAAAGAATGATCATTTCTATTTGAAATAATGTACAGAAATTTCTCTTTGAGTGTTAAATTGCAATCAACAACAACAACATACTCAATGCAATCCCACACGTAGAGTCGGGGGAGGGTATGATGCATGCAGACTAACCCATACCTTTGTGGAGTAGAGAGGTAGTTTTCGATAGATCCTCTAGTCAAAAGAAATGTAATTAAAACATGATTAAAAAAAAGGAAAATAACAATAGTATAATAGCAGAATAAACAAAAAAATCATGTAACAGGTAAGGTAAAATCATATTTTGCAAGTCATATAAATTGAAACAAAAGAGAGTACTGTAGATTACGTCAATAAAAAGAAAACATGCCCATAAAATAGTTACTATGTATATAAGAGTTAAAAAGACATTAGAACTTTGTCAATTGTCCTTCTCCTTCTTAAATCAAATACACCGAGAGACATAAAAGGGCAGCCCGATGCACGTAGCATCCTGCATTCATGCAGGGTCCACGAAAGAGCCATAAAGGATCATAAAATCTCCTAACTTTTAACAAACACGAAAAACTAAAAAAGTAAACATAAATATAATACAACAAAAGGCCCATCCTTATAAACATTACTTCGAATGTGTCACATAAATTGGGACGAATCAAGCAACGGATTCGGAGACAGTATTTAATCCGAGAAAATCGGTAGCAGATTTCCCAAGAATATTAGCAAATTCATTAAAACTTATAACACCATCTCCATTGGTATCAGCTTCTTGCATTAAATTTGACAATTCTCTATACGTTAACGGATGACCCATTTTCGACATTTGTCCGGCGAGTTCGGCGGCGGTAATGTAGCCATTACCGTC